CAGAAAAAAAAAAAAAGCCAAAAAAAAAATTCCTTTTTAAAAAAAAAAAAAAAAAAAAAAAAAAAAGTTGTAGACTTTACAATCCAACTGGTATGAGCCACACGTAGTTGAAATAAAATGACAAGGACTTTATTAAAATCCATTTTACTTACACGTTTACAAATTTAATGTTTCAAATTGGAAAACCAGAGTAAAAAGGTCCAATGAAACTAGAATTCCCAGCTGGAAATTCATACGTTCCTACGTTTCTTCCCAATCCTGATTTCAAATGTTAATATGGCCACCTGCCACATAAAACCAAAAGCACCATCAAAATGTTGTTTAGCACGTTTGCTTCACATTAAAAGCCTTCACACAGTAGAGCCTCCTCGAGTAAACATGTCGCTGCAGCGTTTGCAAGTTCAAAATCCAGGGGAAATCATTACTAGTTTGTGATGTTATTATGCGTTAGCTCGGTGACCAAGCATGTCGGTTATCAACTTCCACTTAACTGGGACACCACTAAGTTTCGTTTGAGGTCATTAGCAGAGTCCAGTAAATACAGTAAAAGTTGCCACCCACACTTTTCCTGGTCCATCACACACTGCAGGTAGTGCAGAGTTCTCAAGATATTTTCACTTTTCTGTGAAGTTTATTAAAAAAAAAAAAAAAAAAGCACAAAAAAAAACTAAAGTGTTTGAAACTCTCATTTTAGGTGTTGATAACTCAAGCGGTACCAATGGTACTCTGACCTCTTTATTGATGATTATACTGCTCATTTAAGTATCCTTAAAAAAAAAATAAAAAAAAAAACTTTAATTTGCAATTTCAGGTCACAATTGCGAGAATTCCCAGTGGTGACATAAATACACAAAAGCCTCCATGCCATTATCAATTTTTAATCAATTTTGCAGATGGGGCTAATTAATGATGTTTTGGTTAGAAACCTGTAAGACGATCAAATGGTTTTTAGATCATGTACATATATAGCAAAAAACAGTCAATTCAAGTCATATCCTAATTAATCCACAAAAGATCCAGTTTCAAGATCCAAAAAAAAAGAAATTAATTTCCTAGTTGGGGTTAAAATGGCAAGGTGAATGTTTTGTTTCCAGGCAGAATATTATGTTGTGCTGTTTTTAAATATGAAAATATTAAATTATCCAGTTATGAAGGTGATCTTTTGTGCTAAATAAGAAGTCCATGGCAGATCAATTGGGTGGCATTTACTTGAATGCAAAACATTCATTCAAGGCAGTTTGTTGTCACACCAATATCTGATCATTTCTTTCAATAAGGATTTTTGTATTAATTGCTTTGGGTCATAACTTTTTAGAGGCTAGAGTATAAGCTATAATTTTTTCTCATTTATTTTTTGTTCTCCTTCAGAATAAACTCGCATACATAAATACGTATTTTATCCACAGCAATAAATTAATCAGAGTCAAATCCTTGTCTAAACAGAAAACAGAAACAAGCTTATGCTCATAATATTACACAGTGAACATGATATCAATGATTTATTTTAAAGTTGACGAATTTGCACTGATTTATCGCCCTCACGAAATTATGGAGAAAGAGTGGTCGCCACATTTTTATTATTAAATATATATCTATAGCCTTAGCCAAAACCTCTGATGTGTCATGACGTTTTATAACCAAAAATATGAGTCTGTCCTTTCAGAGTAGCGTGTCCTCACTGGTTTGGGAGTTCAAAAGTTATCGCAGCAGGATAGATGCTCTCGAAGACACGGTGTACTAGATACCCACCAAGGCCTGTTTACATTGCTAGCGTGCTAGCAGCAGTGAAAACTGAGGTCATGCCTGGCTAACATTTCGACCGGCACATACCTGTGCCCGAACATAATTAAAGTCTCAACAATTTCTGGCAACAGCTGAAACCGTCTCCCGGAACAATAGTGTTGTATTCATCTTTTCTCGACATGTACAAATTGTCTAATTGGCTAATATTAGCATTTTGTAACAGCTAGCAGCGGAACGCAAACTGTCATGACTTGGCCAGTGAGCTAACGTCCCTCCTTCTGCTCCACAAAACCGCACTGACATGACCACAGAGCTGGGAAAACATCGACGATATCCATCGCGGATTAAACGCCCGGTAAAGCCGCAGATGCTTGTTATTAATAAAGCACAAAATCGACAGCATATTGTACTTACATGTGCGATAAAGTCCGTCTGTCCATTGAAACTCGCTCGTAATATGTGATAGCAACACAGAGAACTGTGACATAAACGATTTTCAATCGGTGACCTAGTTTCTCTTCGCCGTCATGCCTGTCGGACCACTAACCTAGTTTTTCAACCAATGGAGTTCGCCATTCTGCCGTCGGCGTCGCTCAAGCCAATCAGATGCAAGTTCAGGATGGTGGAGTGTGACGGACGCGGTAGCTAGCCAATGATGGTGAGATTTGAACGGAATGCAGAGGCCAATTTGTGTGTGAACGTGTTACGGAAAAAACACAATGCAACAGGCCATTTAGCTGGCGATCTGCCCGATAGCCCTTATGATTACTTTCAGTCTTTAAATAGATTTATTTACCGTCTTTTTGCATACTTCTATTTAGTGTGGATCAAATTATATATTTTATATATACTTAAATATTTTTACTATTCTTTATTTTACATTTTGTTCTCAGTTTCGATTTTTATTTATCTATTTTAGATGTAGAATTTCATTTAGCAATTTAGTGTTAAGTTGGAATGCGTTTTTAATGTTTAAAATGTGTGTTATATTTCTCATCATCTAAGACTTCAAGAAAAAAGTATTATTTTTCATCCATCTTGCACAATTACGCCTCCTACTGGGTATATATTCATACATGCTATGAGCTTCTCTTGCTTAGGTGATTTTTTTTTAATGTGGCATGATTGAGGTTTTATTTAAATAATGACACACCCATGAAACATAATGCACACATTTCTTTTTAACCCTGTCATTATTTAATGTTAATGTAATCAGGAATATACACAATTTTAGTATGTTATCCTCTTACTTACTAATAGAAATTGTTAATGATGCAGCTATTTGATGCATTACTATATTCCATATTATACATGAATTTTTTGTTTGATGTAATTATAAAGTTATGATAGACATTTCATATATAATCTGACTACTACATATATATATATACTACTACATATATTTTCAGTAACTGGATTCTGAAAAAGCACAAATGATTCATGCAGCTTAAAAACGTGAATAGGAAAAACAGGTTTCATTTTTGGTTGTCACTTGCAGTTTACAACTCCATCCGTTGCCATATATTCTAGCAGAAATACTTTCACATAATTCACACCTTGGCAAAGAGGTGACACCAAGTTCTGCACAGTCTTCTGCAGTTTTGAACAGATGATCTGCAGTTTTTTAAAAGTGGCTCTCTGCAATCCTCTTTTCAGATCTGCACTGAGCTCCTTAAACCTATCCACTGAATGATCCAGTGACTGCTGTCAAACATCCTCTTTTGTAACGGTGCACAGAAGCTGCACACAGTTAGATGTGATCTGTGCTGGGAGGTTAAGAGGCTTTGGCAAGTTAAAACACATTTTGGAACATCCTGTACTACTACAACAGTGATTACAAATATTTATTTTTTTTATATACTTTGTGCCCATATTAATAATTTACACTATGTTGCGATTTCAAAATGCATGGAATCACAATAGGATTTATACCCCTCTGATTTTTTTCATTTCCTTTCTTGATAGAACCATGACTTCCAATGTATTTAATGAGATTTTATGTGATGTACCAAGAAAAAGGCACTGTGCAAATGTGGGCGTAGAAAAATTATACATAGTGTTTCCATTTTTCATAAGCAACAATTAAAATTTCAGTTAAAATAAAAGTTGGATGTAGGTTTAAAGGTTTACCTTTTGTCCAATCTGTGTACTTCACTGATTGTGGGGAAACATTCTTATGGATTACTTCCATGTCCAAGAACTATTCAAAAACAATCTTTCAAACGTACACAATATTATATAATTTTGAAGATACATATTCTAGTTAACATATTATTAAACAAAAAATAATTAATTAAAATGTAATTACATGGAATGAGAACGAAAACATCCTACACATTAGTACATATTACAATATTTAGCCGCCTTGTCAGGCAAAACAAAAATTACATTTTTGAACAAATAACATCAGCAGGCTTTAAGAAAGGTAAAAACTAAAGTGAAAAGCCAGTAAACACCGTTTCAGGGCAGGTGGTTTCAATTCTTTTATAGTGTCACTAGATGGCAATGTCTACTAAATCGACTTAATATGAAAGTAGTAATTTTCCTTCCCATACGCAAAATCTAAATATTGTGTCTAGTTAGCGATGTTAGAGGCAAAAATAAGTTTAAATATTATAAACATATTTCGAAACCTTCGTAGTGGTTTTATTTTCGTTTTATATGGGCTGTAAATATATATCCTATTTCCTTCAAGTTTAGTGCAGTATTCCCGAAGAGTCAGTGAAGGCATCACGCTTATCACATGGCAGGTGTCATTGGTTGAGGGAAGCTCGCGCAGCGGCGGAGCGAGCGTCAACTGCTCATACAGGTCGGACCAGCTTGTGACATCTGGGCGTGAGAGGACCATGCGTGCCCGAGCTGAGGAGTTTGCCTTGTTTTAGAGCCTGGCTCCACCGAACGTATTTGAAGGAGGACAGAAGCTCACGGACTCGGATATAGTAAGTTATATATGACTCCAAGAACGTAGTGTATTTACTGTAGAGGTTTCTGTTTACTTTGGAGTTTTTGGGGGTGCTGGGATATGGTTAAAAAAAAAACAACAAAAAAAAACCACACAGACAGGAGGAGTTTACAGTTCTGCCTTTGGGGACTGAGATGTTATATCCCCAAATAATTACTTTTATTGTATTTTAAAAAATAAAAACAACTTCAGCCTTTGTTGTGGGACCTTATGTGTGTTTGTGGCGCCCAGTGGAGCCTCCATATTTCACAATCGTAAAATAGAAATTATCATTTGCATCAGCCTTGTTGTGGATATTCTCCAGACAGGAATTGTTGTGCAAGATTTTATAGTCACATGACGCATTTCATTTCGGTTTGGCAGCAAATTTAACTTCTAGACATGCTCCAGGAAAGCTAACATTGTGCTTTGTTAGAGTCTCCCTGTTGTTTTTGTTTCTCCACACTGGCTCAGTCTTGTTCAGTAAGCTTTAGGGCTGTTAGCCATGCTGTGTTAATGCAGATCATCAATTTCTGACATCATGCGTTGAAAGAAATGGGGGGGGGGGGATAGGTTGCTGCTGATATGCTAATCACAGAAAATCAAGGCTGATATGTGGCTCCCCTCCGCCGTAGCATCTGCTGCATCTAACTCTGGAGATACTAAACACACACTTACACACGCACGCACACAAACACGCAAACTCACGCAGGCATGAACACATATACATCAGAGAGGGCCAACTTGAGAGAACTGAAGGAGCCTCCTGACTGTGAATACAGCCGGCCGGTGCCTCTTTCTGGTGCAAATCTCATTTAAAAAGAGAGTTGAAAGGCATCATTGCTGCTGACGACAGTGAATTGATTAAGGCTGCTCTGGCTGGCACTTGGGTGGCATTAGCACTCAGAAATGAGAGGAAATAAAAGCTGGAGCCTGGGTGAAGAGGCAATTGATGGGGGTCAGGGGGCCCAAAACAATAAAAGAAAAGTATTGTTGCAACAGTCATCGAACTGTTTACTCAGACAGAAGTACTAACCAAGCTGACTGTGCGAGTAGTAGGTTTTAGGATGGTGCCATACATATGCATGCACCGTGCATGGATCCAGCAGATGATGGCACTCATCCCTGTGATCAAAGCGGGATGTGTAATTCTAAGAGCTTTCGTTTTCCTCTGCAGCCATCCAGAATCAGATGGTTCTTGTCGTCTTAACTGCTGCTCCTCACACCACAACTGTGGTTTCAGCAGATATAATTCTCTGCTGCTCCATGACAGCCAGGGATGAAGCAGAAGAGAGGGAGATGATAAGAAGAGAGATGTTTGGGAGATTAAGGCAATGAGAGAGGAAAGGGAGCAAAGTGTGGGGTGGGGAGGGCGACAGGAAAACCATTTCAGGTTACAGAATACAAAACATAATCCTTTCTTTTCTTAGCCCATAGAGGAAAAGATGAGAACATAAAAAATGAAATAAGTTTAGTTTGTTAGAGGGTCTGTTTGGTTTGCTGTCAGGTGAAGAAAGGATATTAGAAAACAGTGGCAGGGAGTAGCAGAGCTATGCTGCAGGGTTCCTAGAAGCCTGGAAATGAAGTTATAGCCTTTTTCAGCTCAGGAAAAGTATGGGAAAATGGATTTTTAGACTCCATTTCCTATTCCATCGTCTCAAAACTGTTTCCATCCATCGTTTTAAAAAAAGAATAGTATGGGAGAAATTATGATGTCTATGGCGCAGGACACCTGTTGCCATACCTCACTGCCAGCCTTTTTTCTCTTGTAAACTCACAACTGTACAGGAGAGCATTTTCTTCACTCATGATTTATGAACCGGCAGAGAAAACTCAAAGATAGTTCGTCTTTGCTGGTTTATAACAGAAAACTGAAGAGAAAGCTTCAGAGGTTGTTCTGGTTTCTTTTGTAACCTCATGGATGAGCCTTTGGTTCTCTTTTGAAGTAATTTAGGTACTCTTGGGAATGCTCATCACTGTTCCATGTTTTCTTCTTTTGTTTATAATGGCCACCCAGTCTCACAGGCCAAAGAATAGCATTTTGAGGCAGTGATCTCAAACTCCAGTTCTCAGGGGTCGATGTCCTGTGAATTTTAGATGCCTCTGTGCTTCAGCACACCTGGCTCCAATATTAGCTCATTAGCAGAGCTCTGGAGAGTTTGACCGCATGCTAGTGAGACAGTTTAGCCATCCATTTCAAGTGTGAAGGACAAAGGACACATCCAAAAGTTGGAGCTTTCTCGTCTTCTTTGGGTGCATGCACATTTCTGAAGCGTTAGGATGCCCATTATGCACAAATTTATGTCCTAAAAATGGGTGTGTGAGCATCTCTGTAGACAAATCTCACGGTTGGAGTTGTCAGAAACAATCTCAAACCAACCAGCTGAAAGGCGGAGGAGGAAGGAGGTGAGGACGGGGAGAGGCATGAAAACGATTAAAGCGAATGATTGTCACAGAGAGCTCAGGAGAGTGGAAAACACGGGTGCATGATTCGGGAAATGAGGGGGAGAGATAAATGCAGGATTATTCGTGACAGATAGGAGGTCAGAATACGTGTTCAGTTACATATTGTATTGGGTAACATAAAAAAAAAGGTTTGGGTTTTTGAAAATGATCAAGAATTGTGAAATCTTAAATTACTCGACTCTAATTCATAAAGATGTTGCTAAAATATTTAAAACAATGCAAGAAATTGGTGCATCTGAAGTGTATGTTCAAATTGGTTAGTTCTTATAAAAATGAAAATATTTTAGAAATGAAAGTGAAAGGTAGAGGTGTGTCAATTAATCAGCTAGAGATCAGAATCAGACAATTTTTCCTCTGCAGTTGGATCAAAATCTACAGAATCTGATTATTATTTTCATAACAACAATCCACCATTTTTAATCTAATATCATGTTAGCCAACAACGTGTATTTTTAAGCACTTTTTGAGCTTTATAAAATAGGGTTAGAGGGCTGTACTTTGGTGCAGATTACCAGTAAATTCCTTTATTTTATGTTTTGTTCAAAACTTCTGCCTCTATCAAAGAACCATCAGCACATTTTTTTTTTCAGTTTTATTTGCTATTATCTTCATAAAATAACAAAAAATAATAGGAAGGCCAGACCTCAAACAAAACCAAAAATTGATCTTGGATTCTAAAAGTTCAACCCACAACTTCTGTTACATCGCTTGTGTATGCAAAGATGTAACTGTAATGGGTCTGAAATATATTTTATAATACATTTAATTTTTAAGAGGAATTGCGAATGCCGGAGTTCTTGATTTTATTTATTTTTTCGCAATCTGTGGCTGGTCAGTTTTATGAGATTGTAGTCGCTTTGGTTTCTTGAAATACAAACGCTGTAAAATATTCTAGCAAATTCTTCACATTTGGATTTGATGGGAGAAATTGCTTTTTCATACGATTGCGTATGATGATGTATATATTTTAAATATTCTACTTTTAAAATCAACAGAGATGGTTAAAATATAAAGCAGAGAAGATCCAATGAATCTTAAAAGCTTGACATGAACCCTGAAGGTCTAGGGCAACACCAAAAGTACTAAATCCTAACCATGGCTATGTTCTGCATATAATTCTGTCTGAATTTTCCATTTTTGTCATGTAGTTGCAGTGGAAGTGAAGGGTCAAGAAAAAAGGTTTCAGTATTGGAAATGTGTTTAGCTTCAGCAATGATGCTAAACATAGAGGAAGTCGACCTGAGATTTGACAATAAAGAGAGAAGAAGAATTGCAATTTCCAACTCCCAGTCAAATTGGTTGGTATAGAAAAAAAACACTACTTTCCTCACTTGTTTTCCACTGTTGTGTTAAAGCATAGTACACCAAGAGCTCCAGCAGGGCTCTTATCTAAGGGAAAGCAATCAAGTTTTATATGGTTTCATTAGGTTAATTATTCTCATGTTGCATTTATAATGAGACTGCCTCTGATTCTTGTGCAATGTGTTTTTAAATTTGCTAGAAAATTGCGATGGTACTGACTTAACAGCTGCTCACATCTCATACGTTAATCAAAATCAAACTTGCACTGTTTTTTGACTACTGACTAATTCTGTTTTGAGTTTCCTTTCATGAAAAAAGTTTGTATCTTTGCTTTCGTGTTGAGAGGAGATAGTCCTAATTCAACCGGAAGCATAACCAGCATCTATAATCACTCAAAGAAACCTAATATAATAATTTATGTAACTTTAAAATGAAACTAAAATTAAAAGTCATATTGGAAATTTTAATTGCTAATTGTATCCAAACAGATGGAGTTCAGTAATGGGTGGTTCCCCAATAGAACTAATCTTGGCCTTTGTACTGAAGAGATGGTGCTAAATCAGTTTATTGTGATTATATGTGCTGGCACAGAAACTGTAGTTAATTGGTTCCTTACCAATTTTATTTTTTATCTTCATAGTTTTACTTCAACAGTGAATTAAAAATGAAGGTGCTGCACTTTTAGCTCTTTGGGTCTGCTCACTGAATATATTAAATTATGGAATATTGACCTTTTTTGTTTCTTTTTTTTTTCTTCTGTGCCTCCATGATAAAAAACAGTGGTCCCACTTTAGCCGTTCTGGTAAACCACCACTGGAGTTCAACCTTATAAAAGCTGAAGTTTATTGCATTTGTTTAGCTTCTTCACCTGAAGCACTTTAAAAGACAAACGCGCACATCCTGTGCTTTCTGTGACTGTAACTTTACCTTGTAATGTAATCTGTCGCTGTTCTTGTCCGGTTTGTTAGCAGCTTGTGACTTTCTGTAACTCTAGTCTGCTGTAGCCAGGACACTGGCCTCTGAAGTGAGTCACTTCACTGGCTGCTTGTGTTGTTTCACTCAGTGGAAATCCTTCCTTTGTAGCTGGAAGAAAGGTAGTCAGGATGGGTGCTCACTGCTCACTCAGGGATGGTTGTCAGAGTGGGCCATTTGACACAGCTGCCAGACGACAAACAGTTCCTGATCTCAGCCAGCTGGCTTTGTTATATGCTTCAACTTAACATATTGTGG